TCCTGGCTGCACTTTATCAACAAGGTCATTATGAGCATACACAATAGTTGTGTGAGGTGTCTGACCAGCGGGCATGTCTTCAGGAGACTCTTGAATTTTGACCTGTTGTAATGAAAGATCAATAAACGAACAGATGACATGACCTCAAGAGCAACACATTACAAAATAACCTACTCTGAGATTAGGTGTCATTTACTGTAAGCAATGTGCCCCATTAACTCACCATCTGTTTGTCTGAAAAGACTGAGCGATTGTGAATGAGCGCCAGGCTGTGGGTTGTGTTGCAGTTGCGACAAACAGCCGGCTCAGCGATGCGCCCACGATCCACCTCCACACGGGTGCTGTAGGAACACACCTGGCATTGGAAGAAAGCCTCCTGCATCTCAGGGATGAGCTGCGATGTGCGGATCACCATGCCGCTGATAGTGATGAGCTGATCAATGTCTGTGCAGGTGAAAGGCACAGAGAAGCGTTAGCCTGAAGTTGATGCCTCACATTTTATCAAAGGAACAACACACACCTTCTGGGTTCAGGCTCCGCATGTTTCTGGTTTTTAAGGCGTTGTACGGACGGACTTGTATCTGGTACTCCAGAATGGAGTCAGGGAAACGCTCAAAGAAAAGCTCGTTGACTGCCATGTCGAAGGTTGGGATGACTTCCTGCAAAGCAAAATTAAATTCACTTATTAGTGAAATAAAGTTTAAGGCTAAGTATAATAAGCTATGACTTCAGCCTACACATCTGTCGCAGGTATCATCTCTGTTTAACATTGATTTATTATTGAGGATCTTTAAACTTGAGTGCATTTCTACTTGTTTTAACTCAAAGGCCAAAATAAAAATTAATCAATCACAGCTTTAAAATGTAGCAAAAATACATACAGTGGTGCAAGAAGATGTTTTGATCAACTTTCCATATTAGCTATATATACACACACATCAAGAAAATAACTAGGACCTTACCTGTGGGTAGCAAATGACCTGCCTGTAAAGTTCTGCATCAAATGACTGCACATGCCGGCAATTCACATTTAGCACTGGATCACCCACAACACTGATCTGCAATTCAAAAAGAGAAATATAAAGATTTAACATTCCGAAATTACCAATGTTGGTGTCCCCTCTCTCTTCTCATTACCACCTGACAGAGCACAATGACTCAAACTTAAGTCGATACACTACCTCTTCCAGTTTCTGCATGTACAACGGCTCATTCAGGTCCAGACCGGCGTTCTCATCTTCAGTGGATGTTGGGTCAGTGAACCTCTGAAGGAACCTCTATAAACAAATGGACACAAAACACAGAAATAGAAACTGTTTCTCTAAGAACAGAGAATATCTAATAATAGCTTAAATGTAATTATTTTTATACCTGAAACTTCTCCTTGCAGGTGCCTACATTGACATCAGTTCCCCAGATCACCAGTCTCTGGGCTGCGTTTGGCTCGCTGGCTACTGTGCCATCAGCACTTGGCTGCAAACAAGAACAGTGTTATATATTGCTGTCTTACAGGTTTAACACAAACACATTAATAATCAACAGAGTAACTCTTGACTTCTCCACCGACCAGCTCAGAATTAAGATCCACTTGTGGAGCCTTCCTGACTGAGCCCAGATCAGGACGCTGTCTGGCCGGGGTGCCACGCACTCCACTACGAGGCGTCCCTTCCACCCTGGAGCTGGGGGTCCTATACATGAGAGGGGAGCTCATGTCTACCTCATTGGGAAGAACTGTTAAAAAGAGACAAATCTGAGCACACCGCACACAAAATCTGCAGCATTTCCACTGATAAGGATAAAACAAACCAAAATAGGTCAAAGTGGGTACAGCTGTGGTGTTTAGTACCTGATGGTCGTGGGCTAGAGAACAGAGACGTGTCCTGAGGTGCTGAAGGACTGAGCATGTCAGTGGCCGGAGAGGTGGGCATTGGCATCAGGTCCCCGGTAGAGGAGTCCTGTCCTCGACGCCTCTGAGAAGGAGGTGATGTGGGGTCCACACTGCTGGCTGAGGATACACATAACAGAAGGGAAGTTAATCCTAGTATAACAGGAGTTACGGGTCATCTCAGTGACACACCAGTTGAAAACTCAAGGAAACAGTGAGCAGAGAGATTTATTTCATGTAGGCCAAAGAACAAGCACTGAACACTTACGTGTGGATGGGTTGGTGTTTCGCCCACGTTTGCGGCCACCAGGAGTTGATGTGGGGGAAGACATTGTTGATGGGTTATCTAGAGATCAGATGGATTAAAAGAATTGACACCAATAGTGTAGAAAGAAGTGGATGGGCACACGACCATTTATCTGACTGTTCTAGTTATTCTGCAGACGGTACACACAAAACATACCACTAACTAAATATTTAGTTACACTTTATAGCAGTATCATCAATTAGCCATCCATTATGTGTCAATACGTCAAAACTCATTTCTTCGAATCAATACATATATCTAACTTTATTTATGCGATACGTGAGAACATCTTGTTGATTCTGTTTTTACTGAAGACTGGGTTACGCTGCAGTAAGTTAATGAAACGTGGCTGCAGAGGAAACAATGAGACGTACTTACACTGTTAAACTAAAATAATATGCTGATACACATGTGTAACAACTAACACTTTGACTCACCCAAAAATAATCAATGGTTTAATAAGAAAAACTTTAACTAAAGGAAATAAACTCCTACCTCTTCTTCTGTGTAAGCCCGAAAGTTGCAGATCTGGCGCGAAACAAGTGGTGACGTTATTTTCGCGGGGAACTTTGGACCAATAGTAGCTTAGGATAGTGCGGTCGATTCATTCATTTCGGGGGGAGGTTCATATTGAGTTCAACCCGATGCGACTTTTAAATAAACACGACGATATGTCTTGAAGAATGAAAGAAATTGATTACTCCAATAACAGCACAGCTATTCTTGAATATATAATTTAAAGTACGATCTACGTTTCCTGCGTAGAGTCCAATGCCCATTGCTACCCGACACCGGTTTGGTATGGTCCCATTGGAACCTTTTTTTTTTTGCCTTGCTTTATTGAGAAAGTACACGTTACAAAAATACAAAAATTGTAACAGGGCATGTAAATGTATGAATACTTAAAAACAACACAAGACAGTGGGAAATTAATATTTATACTACGTAGAAATATAATTATATAAATACATAGCATATAAAATAATTTAATTAGGTTTGTAAGTTTGTTGAAAACATGAAAGCTCAATAAAAGACAAAAAAATGGATGGTCAGTGGCCACCTTACTGGGTAAACCTATACCATTTAATGCAATCAAATACAACTGTTTTGCTATGAAACTTGTATGACACCTGAAAAGTTCATTGTTTCCAAAACTGTCATACAAGTGTTAAGTCAAGTAACGTTTGGCAGTACAAAGGTACTGGTTGGTTGACAATCTCTGACAATCACAGAAATTAGATGTTACCATCTACTGAAGGAATTCCACTATTATAATACAAAAAAACAGATGTTTATTTAAGTTTGGAGAAACCACTGAAGATAAGTAGGCAAATATCTCTCCACAAGTGGGCAGAGTTGGGACATTTAAAAAGTATGTGGACCAAATGTCCCTCCTCTTTTATTACAAAATTAGTAGCTTGGGGAAAAATGTTAACCTTAAATATGCTTAACGATTTAAAGGATTCCTGTAATATGCATCTATTTAGACTTTATTTGGAAATAAAAATGTGCAGAGTGGATGATGTTTATTGTTACAGTGTGTGTATATTTGACCCTGTTCTGGTTGTGCATTCATTCACCACCATGTGGCACAGTTTCCATTTCAGAAAGGACTATGAAAGAGGAAAAGTACAGCACATGGAAAACACAGAGGCATTTCCGTGAAGTGTCAGTACATGTGCCACTTAAGGTGGCTTTTCATAGACAAGATTCCTAAGATTACCACTAACATTTTGTTCATCGCCTTAGAAAGTTATCATCTTTCCATTGCAAACATTATTTAGTACAATATCATTTTTAACAGAGAATATTTTTATATAGAATTGTGTTATCCAATTTCCCTTCAGGATGAATGACTACCTATCTATTAACTTGCTATCAAATATGAATGTGTAAAAAAAGTGTAATGGCATTATAAAAACTTGATGCTGGGCAAATAATGGTTTCATAATGTTAAGCAAATGAACAGTCTAAAAATATACACAGTGTATTAGTCAAATAAGCCGACTGTAAAAACAGTGGACTCTCACATGTGAACATAAATCATATCCTAACCTATTATCCCGTACAGTAAATAGTAACAGGTTATATATTTGCATGCTTGTACAGTACTTTGTAACAGTTTGATCTGTAGAGAGGGCATCATATGTGTAGAGAGCAGGTCTTTAAATGTCCTCTTTATCAATTGTCCCATTACCTCATGATGTACATTACACACAACCTTTTTTACATTTTAAATTATAAATGCGTACCTTTAAGAATAATGACAGTCTAGGAAAGCAAGTATAGTTGAGGGCGCAAAGGGCCCTTGGTGCTCTGGGTCCCTGGACCTGTTCCCAGTAGGTCTGCTCAGGGGGCTGTGCACTTGTATGTAAAAGACAGAGTGGACTACACTGCCTAACTAACTATACTAATATACTTTTTTAATACTTTGAAGTACACTATGCTGAAAATCTGTCTGTACTTTGTACTTTAACATTCTGAATGCAGGAGTTGTAGTGATAATGTAGCATGATTACAGTGTTATAGTGCTTTTTTTTTTTACATAAGTAGATGATGATCTCCCACCATGTCTGATTCTAAGGCCGACAAATTGACTTTAATTGTCAACACCCAGGCAAGGCCGATAGTGTAAACAACTGAATCATTCATATGAGCGTAGTAAAGATTGGGTGGCATGAGCAACACGCCCCTAGCTCCTCAAATGGGAAGTTATCGGATACCACGTGATCCCCATTTTGACTTGACTGGCTCGTGAGAGGGCGGCACGTGTGACGTAATCAGGGGAAACGATACAAAACACTCCGCGAAAGTACAGATGTCTCAGACAGTGACAAGACACGTTGGAGCATCCTCAATGACAGGAGCCTGACAGTCCTAGCCCAGGGAAACACGCCAAAGAAAACTTTAAAAAGGAAGAAAGGCGTCTGCAAAGCAAACAACTGCAGGGTTTTTGTGCAGCAGAGAGCTGTCACATCTGTGGGTTACGTTTTAACAACTTTATTTCCTTCCTAAACCACGTGGACAAGTAACCAGGGTTCATGTGTGACATATACAGCCTCGACTCTCGCTGCGCGTCTCCACGATGCAACATGAGTTGGGCAATGGAGCCTGCTAACTTCTACGAGAACACCAAGCTAGGCAGCCTGCAGCAGGGGGTCTGCAAGAGCGACGGAGGGGGCGAAGAAGGCACCATGGTGGAGCTGAGCACCGCCCCATCCATATACGACGACGAGAGTGCCATCGACTTCAGTCAGTACATCGAGGCGATGACAGCCGTGCCGAACCTGGAGCTGTGCAACGATGAGCTCTTCCTCGACCTGTTTAATACAGTGAAGCAGGAGAAGGCGGATTTCTACAACCTTCAGAGCTCCGTCCTGCCAAGCAGCATGCAGCAGTTGTCAGCCACCTACACAGTGGAGAGGAAGGCGGACAGCGCGCCGGGCAAGGGGGCGTTCAGCGCGCCCATCAAGCAGGAGTCAGACTGGAGCGACAGCGACATGTCCTCTTCCCTGCCTTCCCAGATTGAAACCTGCGCCCAGACCTCCGTCAGCCTCCCCACGGGGCAGCCAACTCCCCCAACAACCCCGGAGCCTGCCTCCACTGTCAGCTCAGCCAAATCCTCCCCGCGGAAGCACGGAAGGGAAAAGGGGAAGAAGGCGGTGGACAGATTCAGCATGGAGTACCGGCAGAGGCGAGAGAGGAATAACATTGCAGTGAGAAAAAGCAGGGACAAGGCCAAGAGGCGCAACATGGAGATGCAGCAGAAGCTGATTGAACTGAGTGCTGAAAACGACAGGCTTCATAAAACTATCGAGCAGCTAACCAGAGAGCTCACTGGGCTCAGAGATTTCTTCAAGCAGATACCAAACTCCTCCTATGCGGGATGTACGAGTGCAGAGAGTCGGTGACAAATGAACTGGTCCAGGAACTGAGCTTTTATAAAACATACCTCAAGAGACTTTGTATTTTTACCATCTGTACCAGATGTATTTTAAGCTTACCATAATGGCACTGGAAAATATGATATTGCTGCCATATTTTTGTGGGATTTTCTCTGTATTAAATTATTCTACCACTGCATTTATATGGTGTTATACCTGATACGGTCCGTTTTATAATTCCAAACTTTGTATAAGAGTCAGAGCATGATCTTTTATATAGTTTGTATGAAACCTTAAACATTTTGTTTATGGAATCTATAATAAAATTGGAAAATAAGCAGAACTGTCTGGTCTGTGAGTAGTCTTTCTACACAGCTAGTGCTTTCTTACAAGAAGTGCAACAGGAAGTAAAGTCAGCAAAAATACAACTTTTATTGACAGTGTTGGCAGTCTTACAGAGGTAGATGCTTGGAAAAGGGTTTTAGACGAACTACAAATGTTTGCACTCAAATGTTGTGTTTTAAAAAGTTAACATTCCCGTTGATGAACCACGTGGGCTGCCCTGACAGACTGCATGCCACTGGTCTACCCTTGGGCTATCAGGTCCTGGTCCACAGGATCACATATCATTAACACAAACAAGACCTTGTCTTCTGGCAGCCCACTTGCTTCAGCAGAGCCTCAAGCTGTCAGGGGAGGCCTTCAGAGGGGAGGAGAGGAGGATAAACTGGTTCAGACCAAGGCCTAGTGTGCAGATCCTTGGAGCCAACTGAAGCCTGAGGATTGATATCACTAGCTACTTGCTCCGACAGCCTTTAGAGGCAAATCTCTTCCAGACACATCCAGAGGGCAGGTTTCCTGGTGACGACTCGGACATAAACTGCGAGGGGGCCGACCTCTTTTCCCAGGACATTCTCCACATCGTAACCTGGGAACTGAAACACAGGGTCCATCAAAAAAGAAAAAAAAAAAAAAACACACCTGACACAGACACATGCAACCTCTCACTTCACTATTTGTTTTAAGATGAAAACTCATCCACTCCCTTTAAATTGTTCTACTACCTGCACACACATCAAAAACAATTTGCAGTTCTTCAATCTGATGATGTTGCTGTGGTTGCAATATTTGCTTATGCACTCCTCACACTTGTCAGCACAAATGTTTATCTTTTTTCCTGAGTTTAATCTGTTAATTGACCTATTTATTCAGCACTCATAAGCTCCCATGAGTCAGAGCATTACTTGTAGGTTAAATGGAAAGCAAATCATATTCCCACTGAAAAAAAAACAGTAGCCAAGCTTAAAAAAAAAGGTGGAAGATGACGTCAGTATTTTGGCAGCAAATTCCTTCAACTGAATCAATGACCAGCATGACTGGGATTTTATGTTCAGTACAGGGCGGACTTTATCACTCTGTCAAGAACAGATGGCTGTGCTGTCAGGACATATTGATAGTGGATCAATGCACTGGAGTTCAGCCCAGGGTTACATAACACTTAGTAAAAGCAAACCTACCTCCTTACCCTCCAGTTCTGCGATGTTCAGAATAGACATGATTGTCTTTTGCTGCAGCTGTCCGGGAGATTAAAAAAAGCATGAAGCCATTAATGTCATTTTAATTACCACCTTAATATGGTAAATAGAAAAAAAAAAAACTGCACTAAATTTACTGTATTCTCGAGTGAGTATTAATATTGATAGAAGGGGTTAAAAGATCAACTGGCTCATAAGAAGAACTGATAATTTTAATCAGATTGGATCAAATGATTTTTTGATTACAAAATCACACCAGGTTGTTCGCAATAAAAACTGCCAACTCTTAATGTGCAGAACATGAATTTTATCATTGAGTCTCACTGCACAAAAACACCCAGAGAGCACAAAGGTTTCTGTGTCTTGCACAAGGAAACTTCAGCAGCACCGGTCAAAAGGTTTGAACCCAGCTCTCTGATCACTATACCACCTCCCACTCTGCTGCTCTTTGTATGCCCCACTTTCGACATAAAACAACATTTTCCTTGACGCTTCATTGTTTTCTGCTTAGCTCAACATAGAAAATACACTTATTTGATTTTTTGTGGAGAGTTAGATGAGAAGACTGATACCACTATAGTGCTATTAATAATTGTAAAATAGTGATAAATAATAATAATGGTAAACATGAAGCCAAAGCACTGGAGGGGTTAGTAGTATACACTGTGGAAACAGCTAGCCTGGCTGTTTATAAGTAAGGCAACTAAATCAGCATAGCAGCATCTATAAAGCTGACTAATGAATGCATTATTATTCATTGTTTCATTCAGGCAAAAACCAAACTGTAAAAACCACTTGCATTTTACAGGGGATTATGTATCATGCTACTTCTTGGCTGGGAACAGTTTTCAAGCAACTAGTGAAGACTGCAGAAAGTTACTGGTCCCAGGCAACACCCCCCTGTTAAATGTAGGCACTTTGGTTTTGCCTATTGCGTGTTAATGAGTGAGCTTTAGAAGTGCTGCTAGGTGGATTTTGTTACCAGGCTAACTGCTTCCCCTGTCTCTGTGCTATGCTAAGCTAAACTATCTCCTGGACCTAGCATGCAAAGATGAGAGTGGGATCATCTCCCTTTGAGCACGCAAATAAGCACATTTCCCAAAATATATACATGACATGTTATAAGTACTTGTACAGTCACTGAAATTGTTCTCACCTTAACCTTCAGAGTGTAGTTGCTTAATGAAGAAGAGCTCAGGAACACTTCAAGCTGAATCTTTGTGTCTGGCTTTTCCACTGCAGATTTACATGAAACACAGTGGAAGTTCTGACTGGAAACAAAATAAAATAAAATAAAAACAAGTTATGATTTGGAATGATAATTAACATAAAGCTATTTTAATTAACTTTGAAAACATACGGCATTTCAGCTAAGATCTTTAAGTGGTCACTTCCACAGTAATTGCAGGCAGGCCAGGAATAAGCTGTACTCTCCTCCACACCAACTATCACCCCTGCAGACACAAAAACAATGGTTAAAAACATCATTATCGTACAAAACATTCATGCAAACTGTGCTTTTCTACATAGCTAAAGTTGACTCTCGTGACAATCTGTTTTTATTATTAAATGTATTCACGTTTCAAGTTATCATCAACTGGTGGATGCCAAAGGAAAACACTGAGGCCTCAATAGAAGCAACACTGAAAAATGATCCACCTATAGGCTGCAAAGCATGTGTGTGTTTGTGACAGGGTGTAAGAGATAAACACATCCCTTTCATATTTATCTGAGATTGCAATGATAAGAGCAGCAGAAATGCACTCCCTGCCTAAACACTATCTTACTTGACAACTAGAGTTTCTGCCCACAAACACAAACACAGAACCATAAATAACATACTGAATTCAACACTGATAAAATGTACTTTGTGGTCTGAGGCTCTTTCCACTGGTAATTTCCAGAAGATGCTATTTCCGCATGAGTACAACAGATAATATGTTTGTTTTATTTTTTAAGCCACCTGGCCAAACATGTATGGCCAGAGGGGCCAGAGCCAAGAGAGTTCACAGTCTGATTTTTGTCCCTAACTGCGACACAGAAATCAACAGATACATTATTATCTGATTTAGGTCGCTCTTTTCTGCACCACATTTACATATATGGAAAGGTTCAAAGAAAACAAAGCGGTACTTAACAAGCAGGACTTTTAAGTGTTCCCTGAAGCAAATGAGATAAAAAGAGCAAAGTAGTTCATCACTATTTTTTTATTAACACTGCAAAAAAGTAAAGTCTCTGCAACTTAAAACTGTGGAAAAATCCTTTTGGTTGTAAAAGCTTAAAAATAGAAAGAAACAGGTTTGGGGAAAATACTGAAATGGGCATCCAAACTAACTTATTTTCACACCATCAGCTAAAATTTAAAGCCTTATTGGGAGCAGGCATGTAACTTCACTGAAAGATGACATGAGAATTGGCATCAATCCAACAACATTTCATGATTTTTTTTCATAAGGTTCCAAACAATGTTCAGAGGATACTGAATAATAAACAGCAGAGAGCCATGTCTTAAAGCCACACCAAAGATTCCTTCTTGCTGAGCTGTAAACTTATATATATTGGGATAAAAAAAACAAACAAGCTGTTCTCTTGCGCTGAGAAAACAACACACTGGGCATACTCTGCAGAAATCACTTCAGAAGAGGTGAGTTTCTCTACATGAGTACAACACAGTGAAAAACAGAAACTGACCTGTGAGAGTGCAGAGGGAGTTAGGTGTGGTCTTCAGACTCAGAGGATCCAGTTTCACAGGCTGGGGCAGGGTCTTCACCTGGGGCTCTGTCAGTGTCTGTGAAAGTGACTCTGGTCTGGCTGTAGACGCATGCCTGTCCTCAGGATCCACTGAGTGCACATCGACAACTGACTGCTCCACACACAGGAGAACACCTACATGTTGAGACTGAAATGTTATTACAAAAGACATTTACTCAAGCACTGTATTCAAGTACAGTTTTGAGTTACTTGTACTTAAGTATTTCCATTTTATGCAACTTTATACTTCCTTTCAACATTTTAACAAGAAATATTGCAATTTTCACATTTAACTGTGTTAATTACTTATAAAAATATAATTAACAAATTCATTATGACATATTATTATAGATTAAGTCATTTGTCAGTATTCTGCATGAGAACTAGGATAAATCACACCCAGCTTTACCAGCTGCAAAATTAAGTGACTCATTACACTTGCACATTAAAGTCTCTATTTGGGGTTTTGTGGAGTTTCTGATGTTGTTAGCAGTACTAACTAAACGAGCACTATTAATATTTCTCTTTGAAATGTAGTTAAGTATAAAGTAGCTGAATGGAAATACTCAAGTATGGTACACGTTCCCCAGCACTGTACTTGAGTCAATGGATTTATTTACTTTTCTCCACTGTTGAGTGCCTTGTGCACACAGTTCTATGACACTAAATCAAACAGACAGTGGTGGAATTGCATGTCAGATCCCAATAAACCATCTTATATCTACCAGCTTCTTTAATGGCATCTCTGAATGACATGCGACAGGCAGCGGGGGAATTTAGTGCTTTGAGGACAGAGGAAGTGAGCACACAGGAAGTGCTCACACACAGGGTCACTGTACGCCTGCATAGCCTCTCAGGCTGCTCCTCCTGAAGACTGGGGTCTGTCAGCACCAACCAAACCTCACCCTGGCCTACATCACAGCCCTGAATTCAAAACAGAAAGGCAGACAAAGATAGAAAAGAGCACAGGCTGAGAATTACTCAGAAACACAGAATGACCTAGAAAAAGACAATTTAAAGGAAACATTACACAACAAAAGCTTACAAAGCACAAATCATTTGCCAACTGTCATTTCTGTCACCTGAAAGAGCTGATTTACTGATTTAGTCTATAAGCCACACAGATTGCTAGTTTTCTAGTGAAACAGCATTGAACTGTGTACCTGTGTTTCAGTGGTGTGAGCATGTGGCAAAGTCCACCACTTTCTTTGGAGCTGCTATCTCATCTTGGTCAAAGTTTAAAGGTCTCACTAATCAATTGTAAAATCAATTGTAAAGTATGCCCAGGCCTCATACCAATTGTCATACACACAGCAACATGAATACTGCTCTCTGTGTCAGAGCAGAAATCCTATCAATTTGTTGGTACAAATGATCTCAGAAAGATGGTTGCAGAGCTGCAGAAGACACTATGTTTATTCCATTCTTTTGGCTAAAGTCAGACTAAAAGTTTCTGGTGCATGAAAAAAAAAATTGACAAAAAAATACCTGTGTTCTCTTGTATAAAACAGTAGCAACAAAGCTGCATCGACAGGTTTTCATCTCACTCTGAAAAAGAAAAAAATAAAACTGTTCGAGACTGACCTAACAAAAGCAAGTTACCTCAATTTGCAGAATTTTTTAAAAATATATGTTTTTGCTGTGAGAAACTGTTTACCTGCCACACATCTCTTAGGGTTTGTCCTGTAGGGGGTAGGTAGAGCGGGGACACTGCCTGCCCCACTGTGGGTTCAACGGAGTTTTCCTGACCTGACAGCAGGTAGCAGAATCTCGGAGCTGGACCTGCAGATCTGCTCTCCTGTAAACAAAGCGCACTTTTAAATGCTCTCCATGTTGAAAAACAATATATGGATTCCTACATTTGTATCAGGCTTTGAATCTTGACAACAAGGAGGTATCCTCAAAATGAGCTACTAAACATTCTCTCAACACACTACAAGAAAAAAAACAACATATAAATGTGTTTGGTATTTGGAGCAATGCTTTGTGCTGTTTTGTTACGCTGCATGTGTGATGACAAACTGCTGAATTTCATGTTTTGATGTACTTTTTGTTAAACGCTGTGATTTTGTATGTGTTCTGTAAGTTGCAGTGCACTAAAGTGTCAGGGCCAGCGTCCTTATCTGCCCTTTACAATAATATGTACTGCAAAACTAGAATGACCACTTTGCAGTTGTATGCTTCTACCAACCAGTCAGGTTTCAGTTTACATGCATGTTTGTCCACACCACTGACTATATATAAAAGAGGGACAAACCTTCTGTGACCTCACCCACTGGTTTTCTAAAGTCTGGCTGTCACCATATTGGTAAGCGCTTCACTCTGCCTGCTATGGCTAATCCAAAAATGGGCAAAGAAGTGGAGTGTGAGTGGAGCTCACAAGACACCTAGCACCTAGCCACCTGTGGCGGGACCCTCCTGCCTGTCACTCAAAACAGCCACGCCCTAAATTAATGCATAACTTTCAGTCTCTATATAACTTAAACAGGCAAGTTAAAAATTCAGCTCCCCTGTACAGTTGTCATGTTTATTTCTGCTGTACAGTTGGGCACTTTAACATGACTCTATAGGGATTAACTCCCTTTTGGAGCCAGCCTCAAGTGGCCATTCGAGGAACTGCAGGTTTTGGCACTTCCGCATTGGCTTCATTTCTCAGCCCAGGAGGTTGCCGCTTGGTCCACACTCATATGATATATAGTATTTAGGGACACAATGTCTCTGGCTACAGCTGTCACTGGTGCAAAGGCATAAAATACAGAAAAAACAAAAACAGAAATCCTCACCATTTAGAGGCTGGAAGCAATTCATGTTTTGTTTTTTTTTGCAAGGATAAAATTACAATGCAATAGTTGCAGATTATTTTATATCAGTCAGCTTTGTAAATTTGCTCTTACACTTAGTCTTGAAAAAAGACCAAATATTTTAGGTGACAAATCAAGAAAATAATGAGCAGATTAACTGCTAATGAAACTATTAGTTCTATTCCTCATTTCACCTGGGGAAGGTGAACAGTTTCTACTGTAGTGGGAACTTACACTGGATGTGCTAGGTGTGTTGCCATGATCTTTGAGAGGCATCACCGGGGGCCACAAACTGTCTATCAAGCTGAAAAGCATGGTGTGTCTGTGAATGAGACAAAAAAAGGAAAAAAGACAGTAAAGAGGTGGGCGGTAATGGGTGGGGGTGCTGTATGGGGATTTGGGGGTGGGATTAAGAGAAACTGGTGAGTTAGGGATGTAGTGAGAAGACTGAGGGCTTTCCCAGTCAGTTTCACTGAAACACGAATCTGTTAAGACAGAGCCTGTTTTTGAGTCACCTAGAATTAGCAGAGAGCATGCTTGGGCTGGCAGAGCAAATACACACAAGGACCGTTTTTACAGGCAGATTCTGAGGTACTGCTCACACCCTATGTAAAACACAGTATCTTTGTGGTGCAGAAACAACAAGGTTAAGAAATCCAATTACAAGTAATTCTTAAACTGACAAATGTATTATAATGCTCCGTTCATTACTTTTGCCTTCTCTCACCACATTCTTAATCTCAGTAATAACAGGTGGAAATCACATCATGCTTAATGCGCTTTCATCATGTTTCTTCTACGTCACATTGATACAGGTAGGAAGGATTTACCAGTAGCACCTCCAGCAGGACATGTCAATCTCTCAATTCATTGTCTCCTTTCTGAGAAATACTTGTTGAGTTCAGGGCGGCTGGTCAGTGTTAGTTATTCATTCATGTGGGTGCTGTCATATCACCCCGTGGTTAACAACCTGTTACTCAGCCTGTAATTACAGGGTTTCTTTGTGTGGGACTGGTTCA